TGTTGTTGAATGAGGCTGATAAAGGTTTGCGGTACTCCGTAGTATTGAAGCAGTTTCCAAATTACTTCTCGGTCGACGCTGTCAAAGGCCTTCTCAAAGTCAATAAAGTTGAGGTAGAGTTGAGTTGACTGCCATTCTAAACTGTGTTCTGTGATGATGCATAGAGTAGTTTTGCAATTTGGTCTGCACATGATTTGTACTTCCTGAATCCAGCCAGCCAGCCTGTTCAGGTAGTAGTTTTAAATCCAGTGCATCTTTTAGCCTCTTCAGGATGATGCGGCTTAATATTTTGCTTGCTCTGAATGCACAGGAGCAGGATTCCGTGCCATTTCTTGCAAACACTGAGGTCTCCCTTCTCCAGAAGTTTGACAAGGTAACCCTTCTTCCAATCACTAGCCAGGTACCTTCTCTTCCTTCCACACCTTCTGCAATAGTGGTGTGAGCATGTCGGCTGTTGTCTCTGTGTCTGTTCTCAGTGCTTCTGGCGGGATTCCATGTGGTCCTGTTGCTTTCCTGCACTTGAGTAGCTTTATGGTGTTCAGGACTTCGACTTTTGTTGGAGTATTTGTGTTCACTTGTAGTTGTGTGGCTGCAGGTGGTATTTCTGGACGAAGTGCAGGTGGTGGTGGTGGTGGTCGATTCAAGAGCTTCTTGAAGTGGTCGGCCCATCGTTTCCTTTGTTTCTCCTCTTTGGTGATTATATTTCCTTCATCATCTTTTATTGGTTTCATGTGTGTTGATCTCTTCCATAACAGATAGTAACCTGGTTATTTGATACAATGTTGTCAGGTCTCGCTAGCCTGCAGCCTGTTCTGCTTCACTTGCCAGTGTGTCGTTGAAGTGTCTTTTGTCTTTGCGCGCACTCTTCTTCACTTCTTTATCCACTGTAGTGTTCTATGCATTGTACTCAGTTCCTCTTCTCGTTGTTCATCCTTGCACTGGTTTATCTTCTGCTTCACCATCCTCCTCTCCCTACTCTATCAGCTTCCAGGTATCCGTCGAGATCCATTCCTTAACTTCTTTCTTCTGCCTTCCTAGTTCGATTATGCAGGTTTCTTTCCACATAGCTTTCAAAGACTTGCAGTGTTTATCCACACAGGTTTCTTCAGGTATGCTGCTCGATATCTCCCATTTTATCTTGATGGCTGACGTGAAGATTTTCTGTGTGGTTTCGTCCTTCAGTTTCCGAGTGTTGTACTTCAACTGTGGTCTATCACCAACTTCCTTGAAGGCTTTTAACTTGATTTGGAAGGTAGGTTCCTTGCACTAGATGACGAGTGGTGTGAGCCTACATCTGCTCCTCTTCTTTACCTTGTGTCCAGTAGGCTGCAATCTACTTTCTTCACATTGAGATAAAGTCGATTTGATTTTTAGTGTGTCCATCTGGTGAAATCCATGTCGCTGCATTGTGGATATCCTTGCGGTTGAACACACTGCCTCACTCCAATCACCAAATCGTTGAATGCACAGAATTCTGTAAACAATTCTCCATTCTCGTTCATTTCACAAACGAGTGCTTCTCAACCCATGGTTAGTTCTCTTCCTGTGTTCTCCACTACCAGTTTGACATTCATGTCACCCATTAGACTTTTGATGTGGCCAACTGGAGTGTGGTTTTGTCCAGTGTTGATTGTAGTTGTCTGTAGAATTCCTCCTTCTTCTCTTCATCTGCATTATTTGTAGGTGCGTAGCGTAGCATTGTACGATTGTGACTTTCCTTTCTTTTGAGTTGAATTCATCGTGCTGTCATGATCCAGCTGGAGGAGGAGATTGGTTCCCACTGCATGGGAGAGGGAGAGAGAGAGAGAGCCTTCGATGCTGTTGGGGATACCATAAAAGCCACTTCCTCAGTGTGCTCATGGTTGTCCTCTAGGTGACTGGGTAGATTATTGACTGTGCAGTTGACAGTTTGGAGAGTCGACTTCCATTCCATCTACTTTCGCAGATTGCTATCACTCTTATACTGTGCCTTCTCATCCCTTTTGCAATCTGTGCTGCCTTGCTGGGTTGAAACATGGTGTTGACATTCCATGTCCCCATGTTTACTTTTGGTTTCATCGAGGGAGAGAAGACACGTCGTCCAATTGGCTTGGTGAAGGTTTTCACCAACCGGCGTCATTTCGCCTCTCCGATTCCAGTGAGGAATAATTTTGTTATTATTTTTTATATATCGTTTGTTCTTTGAAGTTTCTTTAGTGGTTAGATTTGTTTTACGGGTATGGTTGCTAGCCCTATGCCCAACCTTCTTTCTTTACCCGGGCTTATTACCGGCTAGTAACTAGTGAACTAGTTAACAAGGCGAGGTTTACGTTTGCTTACCTTTTGAGGTCAAACTCAGTTCACTTACTTATATGATATTTGCGCACTTCATAAGCAAGAAGAACTAAATTTTCAGAATAAAATGAATGGTAACATTTTATTCCACAATTATTCAGCATCTACATGCAGTCCAGAACTGCTGTAGTTATTAGCATTAATTATCTAATGACATACTTTGTCTATCAGATTGTGAATGTTGTCAGACAAGGTACTTTAAATTTGCAGGTCAAATGATTTTTTTAATCCATATACGATTTCACCTAACTGAGTTGTTCTCAATTCTATGGATACCAGTTGGTCGTATGGTACTTGGTCTGTTAGCCCACATCATTTATTCTTCTTTGCAAATTCCTTACTCTTCTGTCCAGTTCTTGATGAGTTTAATGTATGATCACTTATTGGAATCCCTTTATTTAGCATTATCTTATGCGCTTTCATGGAATATTCAATAGTTGAAGTATGTGATTGTATCATTGTATTCAGATAAACACTGTCGTGTCAGAGTATGTGCAGCTGACGGACATCTGTATAGTAAAATAATATCGCTTCATCCTCAAAACCTGGTCCTTCTCATTTTGTCGATATATGAGAATATTTTGAGGTTGTTTTCATTACATTCCATCATCGATAATAGGCATATCGCTGAAAAAAAATAATGGTTGCTATCAATTTCATTATTATCTATAACATCTTATAGATGTGAACATTTTATTCTACCCGTAGAACCGGAAAAACTTTTGGCGAATGTATGACTTGATGATTATTTTTAATAACTATAATTTCGAGAGGAAATCAACTTACCCATCAGTGTAGTTCATGTCATTACCCTCATAGAATGCTTGTTTGACGCCAAGTAATATGTACATATTTTTCAGTCTGTTGAACTTTCAGTATCTAACCTGAACTAACAACTACCGTATTTTAAGCAAAACACTAACATGGTTTGTATGTAACTTTATTAACTAACTAGGCAAAGTGAAAGCTAACCAGATCCTACTTCTTTGATCTCTTGGAGGTCCTACGAAAACTGTTGACTTCTTTGTTATCAATATGATGACATAATTTTGTTTCTGTTTTGTTCACACTCACTGATTAGATTCCCCCTGGGTATAATAAGATACTGTAGGCATGATATGTCATCTACATTAACTCTCTTAAAAGTTTTATTTCCTCATTATATTCCTAATTTCTTTAAAATAAACACTACATCTAACTGAATGAAATGTACACTATTTTACATATAAAAAAGGTGTTTAATTGAAAATCGTGTACTACATATGAACGTTATACGCAGTTAACACGTTGTCAAATGGTACGTCATGTTTATGAAGTTGAACGAATACGAATGAAATGTATTCTTCTTCTTAAAAGCGAAAACATTTGTTGAATAAATTAAATCCTATGAATAAACAATATACAATCAACATTTTCTATCCATAAAAACTGATGTGCATCAAAACAGAAAATCATTTCAGTTTGTTTACTAAAGACTGAGCATGCATACTAATCACTAAGAGATATTTAACAGCTTTAACGTTATGAGTATAAATTATGCAACTTCAAAATGATTTTTTCCTTTCCTTTTGTGAACAAATTAAAATTTTGTACATTTAAGTTTACAAATATCTAAGATTGATAATTTTGTTTTATTTGTATTCTATAAAGGGTTAGCTGAAAAAGGCTTCAGTTTTTCCAAGACAAATTTCCCAAATATTATATTGCACACAGCAATTAAATTAAAGATATGACCTCAGAAAGGTTGACAAAAATGACTAGGACATAGAAATTCTCATACCTATGGCACCTCGGAAGTCTAAACAACACTTTTTTGGGTCCTAATATTCACTTTAAGTTGTAAGTATATGTATACCACGTTTACTTAGACGTGGGCTGTCAAACGTAGAAATGTACTCACCTATGTTTAAGTAAATATCTTTAATCGTAAGTTTCTTTGAATTATTTCATATACTTTTTTCCATTTGATGTTTTGGACTATATGACTTTGTTATACTGCTTTCATGAAACCGAAATCATCAAGTGAAACTTTACGATTTTAATACACTTTGTAATTCATAATGACTAACCAAATTTAGAGGCACTGCTTTTCATAAAACAACTAAAACTGAATGAAACCTTTATTATCTTTCGAATTTTGTCTTTTGACAGTGCTTAAAAAATAACCAGGTGAGAGATAGTTTTACTAATGTATTTTTGAAAATCGCGAATTATATATCCATTATATTCTTAAATGATGTTAAGGGTAGATTGCGAATCTGTTCTTCTGAGAGAAATGAAGCTATTTTTGGAATTACCAAGATATCAGGCTTAACAATAATGCACTTAGATATTCTTTTGTGTTATCGAAAGACAAAATGAAATTTTCTGCCTTTCAGTGATTGGTCACCATGCCTAATACTTCGCTATAAAGATTCAGAAGTCTTTTGACTTAATGATAACATCTTTGACTACAGTTAAGCGGATTCTAGTCGCTGGTACAGAGTAAAAAGCTTGAAAGGTCTGAGTGTCCATTGTTCATTGATGCCAGAAGGAAGAAAGTTATTTTGAGGGTATTATACCATTTTTCGTTACCCATACAAAATGATTAATTCTCGTCAACGCTCAATACTTTTTGGGAAAAACAGAGTAGTCTTCCTACTGCAGTGTTTTATATCCCATATAATATGGATTTTTTGACATCTTACAATATTTTAGGAAGAGGTGTTTCAGAAGAAGATACACTATTAGCAAGAAGTGATAAAAATGCCGTTGATTTCGCGTTCGATTATAGCAAACTATGGTGTAAAACATGCAAAGATCTTGTACTGACTTTGGAAAAACGTGCGGTTGCAGGTAACTAATATGTATTAGTTTGATTATTGATGTTTCAACCATTCAATTAATTTCATTTCATTAATTCATTTCATTTCATTTAATTATTTATCTTCAGTTTTAACTTTTTTTCATGTGTCTACATCATATTTAATTAGGATCTACGAAGAATCACTTTTCTACTCCGATACTGATGTATACCATTATGCTATTATCATTGTTTGCCATGAGAAAACCTTATCGATATGCCTTTTAGTAAGCTTAAAGGTATCGTGTAGAAAACCAACAAATAATTCACTCATAATATAATTACTGTCGTAAACTAGATCTTGCAACTAATAAAATAAGTTTTGCAATTGAAAATGCTGGTTGTTTTGTTGTAAACAGTATTATGCGCATTACTTGTTATAGGACAAACGCTGATTCTGCGTAATCTCATCACGTTAGGCTTTTAATTTCTGAATAAAGATGTAAACTGTTCAAGGCCAGTTATTTGTGCTTTCTCTAAAGGATGATTGGGTGACATGTAATGCACAAATGAATTTCATATATAAGTTTATACATTTTTTTCATTGCTTTACATACTGAGTCACAAAGTGAGAATCTCATGGCTCACTTACCAACGCAGTGTAACTAAAACAGCAAGGTAGGAATAATTGACAACTGTACTTTCGATATATTTTGTCATTCATATCTATGCATAAAGTTCGACAAGTGATGAAAAGGTTGAATCCTTTATTACAAGAATAGTATGCGTGCAAGACACTACTCTCTTTATATGTATCTACACGAAAGTTTTCTTCCATTTTCAATTGAGTCTTGCAATATTTACTACAGTGAATTATCCAGTTGTATATTTATGTATACAATTTGCAAAAATTTAATGATTTGTTGATACTTTACAGAAGTTCCAATTTTGTTTAAAGAATATGGGTATAAGGATTATCTGACTTTCAGAATTTTTTCAGATACACATACTCACAAACATCTCATTTCTTATTGATATCTTTAACAGCATACTCATGTCATTGAATTTCCTCATCACTGTATGATGATTAATACACTTAAGTTGGAACTGAAAAACACACCTATGCTTTATTCACCAAGGTCCTGAAAGAAAATAGTTTTTAAATGTTAAGTTCGTAGTAACGCCTCCGAAGGATTGCTGTTTCATCTTCCTCAAGAATGCGAAGTACCAATAGAAAATAAAGAGAAAAAGTATCAAAAGTCACTTTTTAAATTGTATAACATGTTTCTTCGAAAAAGACATGTTTCAACTAACTGATGTTCTTCATTATTGTATTGCGACTGCTTTAAGCCTTGCAAAAACTAACGTTTTAGCAAATTTTCAAGTGATTTTAAAGGCCTTTAAAGATCATTTTAGCAACAACTGAAATAACCAATTAGACTTCTTTATTTTATCGAAACCTGCCTTTCCAGCTGAAATGAAGAAACCTGTTGAATATTTCGATTGTTCGTAGGGTGACCTTTAAAGTCACCCAAATTTTCAGTCTAAACTAAGACTGATTTGACCCATTTCCATTTTCCTATTCATGTATCAGTGTGATGACTGTCGCCAGGGTAAATTAATGGTGTTGGTTTCTAATTCTTGTACCCACTACCTTAGACACCTACGGGAGATGTTTATCATAATTTTTTATGAGTGTTTATTTCTTTAATAATCTTTCTTTCCTCGTATAACTGATGTTTTCTCCAAATATAACAAATATACATAAGCGTAGTAATAAGGGGTATGGTTTGTAAGATAATAGCAATAATAATATTAGTAATAAATCTGTATGGAAAAGTTCACCAAGTTGAAGGTTGTAAAATCGATTACCATACCTTTTCTACATATGATAAATATTATATATACCTACATATGTACAAAACCTATCACCCATGCGGTAAACTCCATTATTATCAATATGGTCATTTGAAGATGCCCACCAGGAGGGAATATTGAAATAGATCTCATAACTGGATATTCAACTAGGTTAACTGAAGGTTTCATTTAATTAAGTAGGAAAGAATAAAAAAAATGGTCAGCAACAGTAAGATAGGAGTTTTTATCAAGTATTTCAGTGAGTTTCACATATGTTGGAAATTGATGAATTAATCAACAAAGTTAACCACTAATTCGTTGCAGGTTTGTTATTCCAAGTTTTAACTTTACAGCTAAACACTAGCATAAACACTCTGAAAATATCGTAAGTTTCAACGGTATGTTAAAAAGATTACTCATTGTTTGACTGCTTACCAATGATATTAAACTTATTTATTGCATTCAATATTATCTGAATACACTTTTCAACATATCGGTAAATGAATACGTCGGCTAAAACAATATTTTGATTGTGCTGAGGAATCAATATACCGAAGACGCTTCATCATTTTCCTTCAGAAAGTTAAAAGTGAGAATATAAAAACTATGAAGATAACCTAAAATCTTCTAATGAGAAGTAATTTTATACTCAGTTACCCGAATGAATTTAGTAGTAAAGCATGAAAACGTTAATGTCAGCTTAAAATCTTGGTTGAAAAATTAACGGTATATTCGCGTTTAAAGCGTCAGCAGGATGAAATACACATTCTGGAATCCTTTCTTGGAGATTAGTAACTAACGATAGGTAAAGTTATGTAAATGTCTGGTTATATAGTATGGTGAGACTGTCATACAAAGAAAGCAATAAGTAGCATGAAATTCTTAAATTTCAAATTCATTTTTTCATGAGATTATCGATGTGTTTTATTAATACTTTCTTCAATCTATTTATTGTTTTACTTTCTGACAACAATTAAATTCATTAAAAAACATTTAGAAAATGAATGTACGCGAGCAATCATGAAACAATTTCAGATTTTAGAATCAAGTACTGCAAACGTGGTAAGTAACTGCATCTTATCATTCTATATTACAACAAAAGTAAAGTATTATTTTGGCCTTCAGCATTCTTTATACAAATTTGCTCGTAAAAGTATGACGGTCTTTTACTGGCAACATTATCCGCCTTAAAAACTCATCAATGGAAATATTTTAAATAAGATTTCCAAATGACTCTTGTAGAATAACCTATACTGCTCTTTATTTAGTTTTGATTGTATTGTGTTCTCTGAGCTGGGTTGTTTAATCGTGAAGCTTTCATCGCCTTGCTAGACGACATCATCAGCACTAACTTCAGTATGAGGTGAGCTGTCAATATCTCTCCGTGAGTGATTTAGTAGCTTGCTCTGACGATGTGGTCTGTGATTGGTTGTTTCCTTCGATTTTTGTATCATTGATTGTATAGACTTTCCTGTTGGCTGTTCCTCTGCTTCACCTCTGACCTTTCTGTCGTTTATCATTTTTCTTATTGGTTGATAGATCGGGTCTATGTCTATACATCTATTGATTGCTGACTGACCTGAATGCCAAGCTTCTAGGGATTCTCTGACATTCTTTGTGTTTCCTCTGTCCAAAATTTCTACATTGTCGAAATTGAATTCATGTCCACAATTATCCACGTGCATTGAAATGAGTGACGAAATGTCGTGACGTTTAGTAGCCAATTGGTGCTTATGAAGACGAAGGTGAAGAGGGTGGCCACTTTGTTCAATGTAGTGTTGACTACAGTTATTGCAGTTGATTTTGTAAATGATATTCGGCTTGTCTTCTTTGCTTGTTGCATCCTTTGGTCTGCATAATAGTGTTTGGAGGGAATTTGTTGGTTTATGAGCCACACCAATTCCAAGTGGTCTCAGCAATCTTGTTGTGATTTCTGATATATTCTTTATGTATGGTAGGACGATGCGTTTGTTGATTTCTGTCGATGACTTTGTATTTGATGATGCACGGGATAGGCATCTTCTGATAAAGTTTCGTGGGTAGCCGTTCTTCTTTAGGGTGGACATCAGGTAATTTTCTTCGTTTCTCCGTGAAGTTGTTGTGCTGCAGTGTGTTCTCGCTCTTTTGAATAGAGTCTGCACGCAACTGATTTTGTGTGTTGTTGAGTTGTTGCTATTGTAGTTGAGGATTTGGTCAGTGTGTGTTGGCTTCTTGTACACTTGGGTTTCCAGCTTTCCGGCATTTGTCCTGCTGACTAAAACATCCAAGAATGGTAGTTGGTTGTTTGACTCTTTCTCCATTGTGAATTTGATATCATTGAAAACGTTGTTGATCAAACTGTGGGTGTTTTCTATATCATCCTTTTTAATGATGACTAAAGTGTCGTCTACATAACGAATCCAAATTTTTGGTTCGATCACAGGTAGAATAATGGCTTCCAGTCTCTGCATCACTGCTTCTGCTATTAATCCGGATATCAGTGATCCCATTGGAGTTCTTTTCATCTGTTTGTATATCTTATCGTTGAATTGGAAGTATGTTGTCATACAAAGGTCGATGAGTTCCATCAGACTTGAACGTTTGAGTTTTGTGCGTTCTGCAAGGTTTTTGTCTTCATTGATCAGGAGGGATATCGTTTCCTTGGCCAATTTAGGTTCGATTGATGTGTATAGTGCTGTAACATCGAAGGATATCATTAATTCATCATTTTCTATGTTAATATTTTTGATCTTTTCTAAGAATTCTGTTGGTGACTTGATGGAATGTCCGCATGATTGAACGAGGTGTTTCAGTTTTCTCGAAGGTTCTCTTGATATGTTGTATGTTGGGGTTCCCGGAAGTGAGACTATTGGTCGTAGAGGGATATCGGGTTTGTGAAGTTTTGGTCTGCAGTAGAATCGAGGAAGAATAGGTCCATTGGATTTCATACGCCATTTGTCTTGCTTTGTTATTTCTTCTGCTTTGAAGAGTTTGTTTAAGGTTTTGTTGATCTAGTTGTCGAACTTTTGGATAGGGTTGGTTTCAAGTGGTTGATACACATATACACATTTTCCTCAAGAAAAAGCTGCTCAAAATCTCAGAAGCACCTACAACCGAAGAAACAAATGATTAAATGAGGTCACTCAACAAGAAATACGGCAAACAATAGTACCATTAACCAGGCAGAGGAGACATCATGCTCAAATGAACACAGAACAACAGAAAACAATAAAAAGACTGAAAAATAGGAAAGATATCGTTATACTTCCAGCAGACAAAGGACGCACTACAGTAGTCATGGACAAAGAAGACTATATAAAGAAGGCAGAGGAATTACTCAAAGACGAAAATGTGTATCAACCACTTGAAACCAACCCTATCCAAAAGTTCGACAACTAGATCAACAAAACCTTAAACAAACTCTTCAAAGCAGAAGAAATAACAAAGCAAGACAAATGGCGTATGAAATCCAATGGACCTATTCTTCCTCGATTCTACGGCAGACCAAAACTTCACAAACCCGATATCCCTCTACGACCAATAGTCTCACTTCCGGGAACCCCAACATACAACATATCAAGAGAACCTTCGAGAAAACTGAAACACCTCGTTCAATCATGCGGACATTCCATCAAGTCACCAACAGAATTCTTAGAAAAGATCAAAAATATTAACATAGAAAATGATGAATTAATGATATCCTTCGATGTTACAGCACTATACACATCAATCGAACCTAAATTGGCCAAGGAAACGATATCCCTCCTGATCAATGAAGACAAAAACCTTGCAGAACGCACAAAACTCAAACGTTCAAGTCTGATGGAACTCATCGACCTTTGTATGACAACATACTTCCAATTCAACGATAAGATATACAAACAGATGAAAAGAACTCCAATGGGATCACTGATATCCGGATTAATAGCAGAAGCAGTGATGCAGAGACTGGAAGCCATTATTCTACCTGTGATCGAACCAAAAATTTGGATTCGTTATGTAGACGACACTTTAGTCATCATTAAAAAGGATGATATAGAAAACACCCACAGTTTGATCAACAACGTTTTCAATGATATCAAATTCACAATGGAGAAAGAGTCAAACAACCAACTACCATTCTTGGATGTTTTAGTCAGCAGGACAAATGCCGGAAAGCTGGAAACCCAAGTGTACAAGAAGCCAACACACACTGACCAAATCCTCAACTACAATAGCAACAACTCAACAACACACAAAATCAGTTGCGTGCAGACTCTATTCAAAAGAGCGAGAACACACTGCAGCACAACAACTTCACGGAGAAACGAAGAAAATTACCTGATGTCCACCCTAAAGAAGAACGGCTACCCACGAAACTTTATCAGAAGATGCCTATCCCGTGCATCATCAAATACAAAGTCATCGACAGAAATCAACAAACGCATCGTCCTACCATACATAAAGAATATATCAGAAATCACAACAAGATTGCTGAGACCACTTGGAATTGGTGTGGCTCATAAACCAACAAATTCCCTCCAAACACTATTATGCAGACCAAAGGATGCAACAAGCAAAGAAGACAAGCCGAATATCATTTACAAAATCAACTGCAATAACTGTAGTCAACACTACATTGAACAAAGTGGCCACCCTCTTCACCTTCATCTTTATAAGCACCAATTGGCTACTAAACGTCACGACATTTCGTCACTCATTTCAATGCACGTGGATAATTGTGGACATGAATTCAATTTCGACAATGTAGAAATTTTGGACAGAGGAAACACAAAGAATGTCAGAGAATCCCTAGAAGCTTGGCATTCAGGTCAGTCAGCAATCAATAGATGTATAGACATAGACCCGATCTATCAACCAATAAGAAAAAATGATAAACGACAGAAAGGTCAGAGGTGAAGCAGAGGAACAGCCAACAGGAAAGTCTATACAATCAATGATACAAAAATCGAAGGAAACAACCAATCACAGACCACATCGTCAGAGCAAGCTACTAAATCACTCACGGAGAGATATTGACAGCTCACCTCATACTGAAGTTAGTGCTGATGATGTCGTCTAGCAAGGCGATGAAAGCTTCACGATTAAACAACCCAGCTCAGAGAGCACAATTCAAGCAAGACTATCCACGTGAGCTAGAAAGATTCTACATCGTTTCAAAGTTATTTAGTTTGTTCTAATCACTTTAATTATTTTACTACGTCTTAACTTTCATTTATCTTGAATTATTCTTTAATTAACGAAACAGAATCAAGAGAAATACTTCGATACTTTAACGATGGAGTTATCTGTTTCACCGTTAATTATTCATCCTTTCTGGAGTAAATGAAGGTTTGACTATTTTCAAGGTAGCGTTCCTAAGCTTCTATAGGAAATATTAGCAGAATGTCTACCCTACAGTAGCGTCAACATAGAATACTAAACGCGGCATTATATCAAGCGGCAAAGAGTTTGAGCTTTGGGTACAGCGATTCAGAGGTTAACGTGTTTATCAATAAAAGAAACAACGTATTCATAGCGTCGATCTTGAAAGAGCTTTTTTCTGTTTGCTTCTTAGAGGGGTCACAGTACACGAAAGCTGCTATGTAGTGAAATCTGCCGTTAAACTGAATAATTCTTGTGACGTAAAACATCAAACTGATTAGAATCTCTGATTTATCCAACTTGGGAATAGACTACTTGAACTGAAATTGAAACAATGCCAGTTTTAACCTTTTTAAGATGTAATGAATCAACACTCTACCATGATCTAATTAAATTCCAAGCATTTACAATGGTGTGAATAGAATGTTATGCACAAATGTTTAAAATAATTTAGGTTAACCATCCTTGTCATGATTCTTCTACTTTCTCATTTCTAGAATGGAGCACCCTTTAAAAAGCAAACAATTAATTTGTCTCGTATGGTAAGTGGCTGTATTTTGATAATTCTTTAACTTTATATCAGATGCATGACTTGTTACTTATACTCTAATCAGTTAAAAGTAGAGAGAGCTAGTGGAAGATTACTGCCACGTATGCAGTAGTTGATTGACTTAAGTGTTGGCCAGCACATAAGGATAAGATATGCTACCGTCTGACTGGTGTTCATCGATGAATGTCGCCGTCTCTGAGTGTGAGATTAGTTTTTTTGTGATGACGAGAGGTGAATGATTTTGTCGAAGTGTGTTTGTGAGGCAGTGTTGCATAATCACTAGAGGTGTTAGTGTATCTTTTGGAGAATAAGATGAATGGAGCCATGCAGTTTTGAAACATTGTCATATGCATATGTTCCAGATCTTGAACTAGATCCACACATACAGGGCTGCTTCTCATCATAAAAGACTCATTACTAGTTTTAGAGTTTGAAGATAACATATCAATGATAGCTGCAGATTTTCATCCGATACACAGTCTTCTGGACAACATGAGTGATTAATTTATGATGTTCGGATGGAGCTTCTCACCACACCCCAAATACGAATTATTGCTGCAGGATAGGTGTCCATGCATTCCTTGCTTAACGTTAGGGTATGAAGTGGTTGAGCATAATGACTTCTCGATTTACTCAGGAAGTCGGATCAACTCTGGTGGCTTAGTGACCGAAATATTTTTGCGTAGAAAGTTCAAAGCTGGTTTATCTTTTGCCAACCGTCGTCGTCTATGATGCCGCCGTTAAGTTCGGCTGTCCATTCAGAGTTGGGCATAGTGTACAACTTTAAACTTTGTTTTGTTTTGTTGGTCCGAAACACGACCATCGAAGGTAGACGACGTCTTTTGGAGGCTTCAGGTATCAAACCAGGGTTACTCCTATCTCATAGCTCATGTGTCATGGTATCACCATGTCATCAGATTAGAAGTTAGTCGTAGAACTTTAGGCATCGTATGAGTTTTGGTGAAGTTGACGGCTTTTATCAACTCAGGTATCTGGGGCATGCGTTACGCATGCCTAGCCTTTATCTGCCGAGCCATACAGTTCTGACTGAAGGTCAGATATGATTAGATGAATGCATCGCGTCCGTGCTCGATGTCTTTGACTACTGGTCTGAACATGTGAACTTCATGACTGCAGTGTATGTGACACTCAAATTTGGTGACGTTATGCTTTTATGATATAGCCCAAACTCGATTTTAGTGATGCAGGTGTTTTCACACATTATGTTAATCCAGCTGTCATACTGAAGTTGATTATTGTTTTTTTCTCTTTTCTTATGTGTACGATTTTCTGCCACTTCTGACTGCTTTCTTCCTAATTCTTCACATTTCTCTTCGATGCATTCTCACCAGATTTGCTGATGTGATTTGTGCAACTTTAAAGTTTGCGCCGTAATGCCAGTTCTGAAAACAACTCTTTCTGAACATTATTTATTTTCCTTTATGGGTTATGCATTGAGATCATTAATCTTTTCATCCACAGAGCCAAGCTGTTTTCAAATGCAATGAGCCAGGCGCCGGTAACATAGGCAGCTATAATTCAAATAGCAATGGTTACTGGTGAAGTAAGGAAACTGTTCATCAAAACGTTTTTGGTTGAATCAACACCTAATACTTGCAATAGGAACCACTTCAACCTTAATACAGAATGCTCGAACAATTTTCCTCGAATAAGAGAAAAAAGTAATGCACTCAAACTATAAATTCAAGTGAGAAATTCATGCGACAACTTTGGTATCCTTGATTTTTCCTTGAAAAGTTATAAATATTGTCCAGCTCTGTGATATGAACTCAACAAACGAGCTGAAACTGAATTATGCCTCACCATACTGGTCAATTCCTACAAATACCATTCCCAAGGACAACCTGAAGTAAATTGAGTTGTTACTCTTCGAGCAACAATGATGAACAGGATTTGTAAATCCTAATTAAATTAATAAAGGAATATAAACTTTATAAAATTCACTTTGATAAGTTTGGTGCTAAAGGAAAAAAATAACCATGTTGACGAATAAAGAGAAATAAGTGATGGGAAATTTTGTACCAATAATCTCTGTTTTCACTGCCATCAATATATTAGCTTCCTCACATATTACTCTGTTTGAATAAATCTCAACTAGAATTTGGTGGATTCCCTCTAAGGCCATTTCTTATTATTGTGGACAAGGGAAGAGTTTTCTCATTTCATGAATGAAAATGAAGCAACGATTTCAATAAAATCCATGCGAGCTACTCGGCCAAATATCTTGGTTAATCAAGAGTTATCAGATTCATCTGAAACCACTTTCAGGAGTTTGTGAAACAATACTCAACTAATAATCATCAACCAGTCCGCAAATTTTCAAGCCACAGGATCCAATAATGCAAAAGTACTCAAGCCAATTACTAAACCTGAATCCACCTAGCCACTACGTACCACAACTATAATCATCATTTAACCCCTCCGTTAGCACTGCAACATCGGGATTCAGAAGCACGTCTCCAGTGCACTCTCTTCTCTGCAGTCTTTTCAACCTCGCTCCACAACTACCCACAACCTTTCATTTCTTTCTCACATGATCTCACCCATGTCACCCTCAGCTGGGACGACCAACTCGTCGCTTCCCCTTTGGATTCCACTCGACGGCCTGGCCTAGCGCGTGATGTCCCCAATCGGCCTCCTCAGTGTATGCCCAATCCATCTCCACTTCCTTCTTCATATTTGTTGGGTGATAGGTTCTTGGTTGGTTCGTTGCCAGAATTCCTTGTTGCTTATTCTTATATTATTCTGGCCATCCGATCTTCAGTATCGGTGCGCGTAGGTGGCGGCTGTTGATGAACGTCTGTAGTTTGTTGGAAATGCTTTTCGTGACGCGCCAAGTTTCTGAACCGTATAGCAGCACTGACTTGACTGGATTGGTGTTGAAAATCCGAATCTTGTCCACGCTTTATGCTGATTGCAGATCTTCACACTGGTTTCAGGTTATTGAAAGCCTGTCTTGCTTTTCCGATCCTGGTTGTGACATCGTTGTCTGTGCCAGCTGTGGTTGAAACGATGCTGCCTAGGTAGGTAGGTAGGTAGGTGAAAGAGACTACTTCCTTTAGGTTTATCCCGTTAATGGTGATTGGTGCTTGTTGTTGATGCTGTTGTTGGTTGGGTATCTTCATCACCTCCGTCTTGGCTGCCTCTTCTGTCAACTTGTTAGTTTTCGCCTGCAGATCTTCCAGTTTGCGCGACATTGGACACAAGTGATCGGCGAAATCCAAATCTTCTTCTTGGGTCTTTTCATCGGTCCAGCCAGCGTATGCCCATCTTCTCACTCCTCACGGTTTGCCGCATGATCCAGTCGACCACAATCAGGAAGTTCATCGGTGATAGTAGGTGGCAGCCTTGTCTTACTCCTGTCTTCACTTCGAAGACGTCACTGAGCTTTCCATTGTGGATCACTCGACATGCGGCGTCTTCATATAGCTGTTGAATGAGGTTGATGAAGATTTGTGGTACTCCGTAGTGTTGAAGCAACTGTTTGACAAATTACTTGTCGGTCGACGCTGTCGAAGCAAGGCTTTCCAAACTCGATGAAGATGAGGTTGAGTTGAGTTGACTGCCATTCTATACTCTGTTCTATGATGATGCGTAGCGTAGCGTTGCAATTCGGTCCGCACATGATTTGTTCTTCCTGAAGCCAGTGAACCAGCCTGTTCGCGTTGTAACTTTGAATCCAGAGCATCTTTTAGTCCCTTCAGGATGATGCGGCATAATATTTTGCTTGGGATGGACAGGAGCATGATTCCTCGCCAGTTCTTGCAAAGGCTCAGGTCTCCCTTCTTCAGAAGTTTGACAAGGTAGCCCTTCTTCCAATCTTCAGGTACCTTTCCTTCCTTCCAAACCTTCTGCAGTAGTGGTGACAGCATTTCCGCTGTTGTCCTTGCGTCTGTTCTCAGTTCTTCTGGTGGAATTCCATCTAGTCCTGGTGCTTTCCCACGTTTCTGCAGTTTTATAGTATTCAGAACTTCGACTTATGTCGGAGGGCTTGTGTTCACTGGTAGTTCTGTGGCTGCAGGTGGTATTTGAAGACGAGTTGCAGGTGGTGGTGGTGGTGGTGGTCGGTTCAAGAGTTTTTTGAAGTGTTCAGCCCATCCTTTCTTTGTTTCTCTTCTTTGGTAATTAGGTTTCCTTCATCATCTCTTATTGGTTTCATCTGTGTTGATCTCTCCCTTCCCAGATAGTAAGTAACCTGGTTATTTGATATAATGTTGTCAGATCTCTGTCTCTCTCACCTACAGCCTGCTCTACTTCACTTGCCAATATGTCGTAGAGGTGCCTTTTATCTTTGCGCGCACTCTTCTTCACTTCTTTGTCCAGTGTAGTGTTTTATAGGTTGTGTTCAGTTCTTTTCGTTGTGAATCCTTGCACTGGTTTATCTTCTGCTTCACCATCTTCCTCTCGTCTGTCAGCTTCCATGTATCCGTCGAGATCCATTTCTTGAGATTGAGATGAAGTCGATCTGATTTTTAGTGTATCCATGTCGCTTTGTGCATATCATTGCGCTTGAACACAGTGCCTCCAATCACCAAATCGTTGAATGCACAGAATTCCGAAAGCAATTCTCCATTCTCGTTCATCACCTCACCTAACGCTTCTCGATCCATGGTTAGTTCTCTTCCTGTGTTGTCCACTACCAGTTTGGCATTCATGTCATCCATTAGACTTTTGATGTCGCCAACTGGGGTGTGGTTTTGTCCAGTGTTGATTGCAGTTGTCTGTAGAATTCCTCCTTCTTCTCTTCATCTGCATTATTTGTAGGTGCGTAGCGTAGCATTGTACGATTGTGACTTTCCTTTCTTTTGAGTTGAATTCATCTTGCTGTCATGATCCAGCTGGAGGAGGAGATTGGTTCCCACTGCATGGGAGAGGGAGAGAGAGAGAGAGCCTTCGATGCTGTTGGGGATACCATAAAAGCCACTTCCTCAGTGTGCTCATGGTTGTCCTCTAGGTGACTGGGTAGATTATTGACTGTGCAGTTGACAGTTTGGAGAGTCGACTTCCATTCCATCTACTTTCGCAGATTGCTATCACTTTTATACTGTGCCTTCTCATCCCTTTTGCAACCTGTGCTGCCTTGCTAGCTTCAAACATGGTGTTGACATTCCATGTCTCCATGTTTACTTTTGGTTTCATCGAGAGTGGAGAAGACATATCGGCTAATTGGCTTGGTGAAGGTTTTCACCAACCGGCGTCATTTCACCTCTCTGATTGCAGGGAGGAATCAGTTTGTTTTAATTTTTATATTCTGTTTGTGCTTTGACGTTTGTCTAGCGATTGGATTGGTTTTGGAGGGTATGGTTGCTAGCCGTATGCCCAACCTTCTTTCTTTACCCGGGCTTAGTACGGGCTAGTAACTAGTACACTAGTTAACCTCTCGAGGTTAACCGCTATTTACATTCATATTATCCCTCCTATCCCTGAAATCTAACAACAACATACGTGGGATTGAGCTGTTTACTAACGACTTCACTCATATTGAAGCTATATTAAGAAAAACGAATAAAATGAAACTGTAAACATTTTGCTTTAACAGCACTGAAAACTTGAATTATTTTCATAATCCCTTTCTGTTGATAAGTGGGAACAATACTTTAGATAAATAAATATGCAACAGACTGCCCGTTATATTTAACATCTTGGACTGAGAACTTGTCTGATCTGTGAGTCATTGAAATAAGTGACTTAAGTATCAGAATTTAAAAATTATAATTTTTCAAATCGTCAATGCTTAAGCTAGTCATTGTTTTAATTATCAATAATGTACTCATACGAAGTGATGCTTTTAACCGTAAATGATGATGCTAAGCAAATGCAATTTATGACGACCCTCAGTTCATGAGGAGCATTATCATCCAAAATAATAACTTTAGTATTGCCTTCTATTACAAGGAATCTATCGTTGCCCACATCAGGTGAAGCGCATTATAAGGGGTTACATTCGACCTAATATAGCCTATACATGTACACATATTCACTAATTTTTTAATGAACTGATTTACTGAATTATTAGTGAAATAAGAGTCCAAGAAGGATATCAATAAGAAGTCATCAACTGTTATTACAGAAAATGATGGATTCCTTCTAGGCATAAACCATTTCTATAAGGTATAAGAAGCCAATCTGCTGGAGGCGCTGAGAAAGCACTTTATATTAAGATGCCTCCACAACCTACAAAAAGTTCATGCTCTTACAGAACTTTGAAACTTATTCACTCGAAGTTGACTTTAAAAGCTACAATCAACACATTTTTATCGTTACTGTTTCACTGTACGAAAACCTTATGGAAACAAATTAGTAACCGAATTTACAAAGCAATTACGGTCAAGCACTCCAAATCGATCAAATTTTATCTAGTCCTACATTTTGGCTACTACGTTCAGTCTGTTGGTGTTGATTCATGTCGCATCGTGAAAAGTGCTACAAATCTGTGAGCCTGAAGCTTTGGTAACTTTCCTAAGGAAGCTATTTTTATCAGATCTGAAAAATTCCCTACATTCCCTGTTGTATTCTCCATCCCAATAACGAAAATTACGGTTTTTTCTTTCAGATGATTGATCACTGTAAAGAAGTCGAAGTAAATAATACAAAGCGATGTAGAGAGTTGTTAGAAGTGAGTTAATCACATTTTCATTTCTTAATTTTATGCTGCCTTTTATTCAGTTTTTATTTGACTTCTTATTTTTTCCAACACCAAGTATTTGCGGCCTGATTAGTGATTTTTTGTAATTTTTACTGCTGCTCGGCATTAAGTGTGCTGAACAGAGCTTTCAAAGTTTAATTAATGGGATTCATTGACACTTCATTACAATGTCGGTGCATGGTATTCTCTCAGTTCACGCTGTTGAAGGTGACGAAACCCAGATAAATAAATAAAGGTGATTTTTTTAAAAATGAAGACCATCATCCATCACCCATAACCATCACTCAAATTTGGCTATATTAAGCACTTTGTGATATGGCATAGAATAAATCTCAGTGTTATAGACGTATCCACATATTATCTTCATCTTAATCGTCATACAGAATATCACTATTTTTATATATTTTCAGTTTCGTGTTTTGGCGACATTTTACAATTCTTGATAACTCCTTTCGCTGTTTCGGAAACTTTCCATTTTGTGCCACCTCCTGTAAAAACCTCGGTATGAGGACAAATTCAAAGGCCATAATAAGAACGATCGAGCGTGGGGTGACTTTACACGCCAACTTAGAAACTGAGGAAACAACCAAATCCTTCTATTAATTTATTAAAAACCTCCGTCTCTAGCCTGAATAGCGCAATATGATCTCTATTTTCAGCAGTTCCTAGGTTCACCTATAAAACAGAACCCCATATATTGAGTGAACATAAAAGCCACCAAATTATTTGAATAATTTTTCCTTCAGAACCTAACGGAATCGACGGATTCAGCAGCACGTCTCCAGTGCACTCTCTTCTCTGCAGTCTTTTCAACCTCGCTCCACAACTACCCACAACCTTTCATTTCTTTCTCACATGATCTCACCCATGTCACCCTCAGCTGGGACGACCAACTCGTCGCTTCCCCTTTGGATTCCACTCGACGGCCTGGCCTAGCGCGTGATGTCCCCAATCGGCCTCCTCAGTGTATGCCCAATCCATCTCCACTTCCTTCTTCATATTTGTTGGGTGATAGGTTCTTGGTTGGTTCGTTGCCAGAATTCCTTGTTGCTTATTCTTATATTATTCTGGCCATCCGATCTTCAGTATCGGGTGCGCGTAGGTGGCGGCTGTTGATGAACGTCTGTAGTTTGTTGGAAATGCTTTTCGTGACGCGCCAAGTTTCTGAACCGTATAGCAGCACTGACTTGACTGGATTGGTGTTGAAAATCCGAATCTTGTCCACGCTTTATGCTGATTGCAGATCTTCACACTGGTTTCAGGTTATTGAAAGCCTGTCTTGCTTTTCCGATCCTGGTTGTGACATCGTTGTCTGTGCCAGCTGTGGTTGAAACGATGCTGCCTAGGTAGGTAGGTAGGTAGGTGAAAGAGACTACTTCCTTTAGGTTTATCCCGTTAATGGTGATTGGTGCTTGTTGTTGATGCTGTTGTTGGTTGGGTATCTTCATCACCTCCGTCTTGGCTGCCTCTTCTGTCAACTTGTTAGTTTTCGCCTGCAGATCTTCCAGTTTGCGCGACATTGGACACAAGTGATCGGCGAAATCCAAATCTTCTTCTTGGGTCTTTTCATCGGTCCAGCCAGCGTATGCCCATCTTCTCACTCCTCACGGTTTGCCGCATGATCCAGTCGACCACAATCAGGAAGTTCATCGGTGATAGTAGGTGGCAGCCTTGTCTTACTCCTGTCTTCACTTCGAAGACGTCACTGAGCTTTCCATTGTGGATCACTCGACATGCGGCGTCTTCATATAGCTGTTGAATGAGGTTGATGAAGATTTGTGGTACTCCGTAGTGTTGAAGCAACTGTTTGACAAATTACTTGTCGGTCGACGCTGTCGAAGCAAGGCTTTCCAAACTCGATGAAGATGAGGTTGAGTTGAGTTGACTGCCATTCTATACTCTGTTCTATGATGATGCGTAGCGTAGCGTTGCAATTCGGTCCGCACATGATTTGTTCTTCCTGAAGCCAGTGAACCAGCCTGTTCGCGTTGTAACTTTGAATCCAGAGCATCTTTTAGTCCCTTCAGGATGATGCGGCATAATATTTTGCTTGGGATGGACAGGAGCATGATTCCTCGCCAGTTCTTGCAAAGGCTCAGGTCTCCCTTCTTCAGAAGTTTGACAAGGTAGCCCTTCTTCCAATCTTCAGGTACCTTTCCTTCCTTCCAAACCTTCTGCAGTAGTGGTGACAGCATTTCCGCTGTTGTCCTTGCGTCTGTTCTCAGTTCTTCTGGTGAAATTCCATCTAGTCCTGGTGCTTTCCCACGTTTCTGCAGTTTTTTGATATTTTAGACAAATACAGGATGCAAAAGGAAGGAAAACTGAGCAAGCAACATTTCTTGCATACATAAACACTGATTCATATTTTGGTGAATATAATAACTAATCTGGACTACTATAATCATTGTGCACATATTTGCCTATACATGGAATAGAGTGTTTACATTAATAGATACGATTAACTTCTGATGGGAATTTAGAGAAGAGAGAATGTGATATATATATATATATATATATATATATATATATATATATATATATATGTCGGTGCGTGTTTGTGTTTTTGTGTATATCTGTGTTCAAGCAGAAATAACTATTGTTTAAAGGGTATGTTTATCGTCGTTGCAATAATAATAATTACTGTTATTATAATCGTGATGCAGTGACTAGGCGTAGCAAGATGATATTTGAAATATGTTTATGTATTTAGCAAGAAAATAAGTGCGTGTATACAAGATCGGAACAATCTGGTGCATTCTCTTGTAACACCCACATATGCATCAGCATATCCATCTGTACATACTATTTACACATAAGGCGAATGTCAGAAGGGAAAAAAGCACATCGATAGAACGACGCTACCTTATTAACATGATCAATAAAAATGAGTGGTTGGAAGTATCTACACATCTTATCAATGAACAAACAGAATAGGTACAAATGGAATAGAAGTGACAGGCTAACAAATGAACAAGGATAAGAATGAACGAAAAGTCTATGTGTGCAAAGAAAAAAGCCTCTTCTAAAATTAGCTACCATGTACGCGGGTGCCATGAGAGAGGGGAAAAGATAGCATAGAAGGATATATAACCTATGCATATAAAAAGTAATAAGTGAGATCGATTTTTCCTTGGGAAAAAGGAAATATTCTGATCACCTTTTTATGGGTAGCACACAAACGCTGTGTTTGTTACTGTGGCATTTCATAGTTAAACCGCATGAATCAATGAAGTTTTTTACAGGCTACCAGTTGTTCTAGTCAATGGGTCGCTTGAAGTAGTGGTTGGCACATTACGGTTAGGTAACCACTGAGTCGATATAGGAGTATATTGGAGAACATTATTCTCAGACATAGCTGCGCAACAATCCGTTTCATCGCATTCCATATCAGTACAGCAAGATAAAGGATAGAGAGACGCCAATAAATGTCATCAAAGGTCAAAAAAATGTATGGGAATGGAGGAAGAGATAACGAAACGAATTAAGAAATGCCATATGACGATTAGAATGAAGATATTTCTTGGATGTATCTACATTCAAAGACAGATTCTGAGTTATAGAAGAGAAGTGAAGCTTATGCTTTTTTCTTAATAAGGAAGCGAAATATAAAATCGTTTACTGAATGACCACTGAGATAGGTTAACTCATGACTTTTTGTAACTAAGACGTCAAAGTTATGAACAGGTTAATAGAAAGCCTGTTTAAATCCTATTGGGCGTTGTCCACCACTATCCGAAATGAATATTTTTTACTGCAAAACGTAGGGGATATTAGATTCAACTGTTTTAAATGCCAATAATGCATAGTGTGAATGATTTCTAAAGTCATGAATCCACCTTTACTTGAATCAAATAAGAAATCAATGCATATGCATGCATTCAGATATTTTGCTGACCAGCGAATCATAACGGATAGTGTGAATTCCTAGGTGCTTGCGGAAATTAACATATCTAGTAACGCTTTCGACAGATGCTTTGTAATAAACCACTGCCGTAGCAGAGTATCCTGCTTGGCAGAAATAAAGACAACACACTTATTTGATATATTTCTAGAACAGTAACTTATCAGCATTATCACCTAACATCTTTAGTTAAGCACAGAATAAAACTGGACCCGATGATTTCAGACACTTTAGTGAGATGAATTATCTATTAGATATTAAGATAGTATTCCTCAGGGACTGATATCGGTTGAAGAACCATTGAAACGTGTGAGAATTGGACAGCTTTTTCGTCCTAGTATAGGACTCTTCAGCAGTACGCAGCCATGACACGACCAGAGACAGACCCCAGGACTTACAGGTTTCTCGTAAACGCGTTAACCATTCAGTCACTGAGTCGGTATTCAATGGTGTCAATCCATGGTGAATGCTAACCTAAAAATAAATCCTCATTAACCCCAAAATATGTTAGATATTGGGCAAACTTTTCGATCCGCTTCTACAAACAGTATTGACTAATAACTGATCCACTCCAAAAAATCTACATCCTACCTCTGTGCCACTAGTAGTAGCTGTGTCAGTAAAATAGGTATGTCAAAAAAACAGATAGACAAATAAATCAACGTAGAACAATAAACAGATGTTCATTTGTTCAAGTTACCACACTTCAGAGTAGCATGCAAAGAACGAGTGAGGCGATATTAACGTAAAAAAGTGGATAGGATGAGAGGGAAAATAAATGAAGGTTAGCGAAAATGCTTAAACTTTTGAGGACATCAGAGGGTGAAGATATCTCCTTTGTTGTGACCCATATTTATCCACGTCACCCAAGAACTCTGAAGAATACTTCCAGTTATCTCCAGATCCCTAGTCAGGCAGTTTTCACCTCCCCACTCCGCTCATTCTAATTTTCAGGGACTTCATCGACTGGCAACACATCTTGTTCTCATCAGCCTGAACCTTTTTCCAGCCCAACTCAACTTAGGCTAGGATTGCTGGTTAAGGTATTCAGTGACTCGGTATACGAAAC